TTAAAGGGAAAGAGAGACCTTGGAAACTGGAAGAGAAGAAGCTTTTGGAAGAATCCAAATCCCAAGAGAAAAAACTTCTGGAAGAATCAAAGGGGAAAGAGGCAACAGGGACAATTGAAGATAAGAAGTTTGCAGAAGAAGAGAAGGAAGTGAAACAGGAGGAGGAGAAAAAGCTTCTGGAAGAATCTAAAGGGAAAGTGGAGATTGGAAGAGAAGAAGCTTCTGGAAGAATCTAGAGAGAAAGAGAGAATAGGAGCAATCGAAGAGAGGAAGCTTTCAGAAGAAGAAGAGAAGAGGGTGAGACAGGAGAAGAAGCTTCTAGAAGAATCTAGCGGGAAAGAGGCCGCGGAGAGGAAACTTGTTCAAGAAGTTATTGATAAAAAACCGGAAGGAGGTTACTTGCTAGAGAAGGAAAAGAAAGGAAAAGGAGTAATGGAGAAGATATGGGGAAAGGAGAAGATGACAAGTGAGGACAAGAAACTGATGGTGAATATAGGAGTCGCTGCTCTTGTTATCTTCGCCCTCGGAGCTTACGTCTCTTACACATTTTCCTCTTCTCCTTCTTCTTCCTCTTCCTCTTCTCCTTCGTCATCTTCTTCAACGTCTTCTTCTTCGAAACCAGAATGATGATTGAATGATGATGGGAATATCTAGCTTTGTTGTATCTGAAAAATAAATAAAATTTATATAAATGTAACGCTCATGAAAATGATACAGATAAAAAGAATTATATTACTTGCTTTCAAAATATTTGTGGTATCTTTTTATTATATTCCTATGTATGTAGAGATATTGTGAGAGTAAAACATAAAATATCCTCCATGTAAAGGGGTAAAAGATCTTCTTTTGGTGCAATTCACATAAACAAAATTGCTTCCCCTCACCAATTTTCACGTTTTCCTGAGCCACCCCTCAATTTTTTATCTCCTTCGAATTTACCCAAATATGTTACAAAATGTCATGTTACCCCCTAAACGTTAATCGTCCTCAAGTAGTACACGTATTTTTAATTCGATAAAAAACTATACTTAAATTCAAAATTTTCCAAATGTCTACACCAGTTATTAAAATTAACAGTAATTATATACATAATCATTATTGCCATTAAAAAAATTTGGATTCTGTTAACTAATGCATTAGTTAGGCAATTGATGCAACTAATATACATGTTAGAGCATTAATTAATAGAATCCGAAAATTTTTAACGAAAATGATTTTATGTATATGTAACTACTGTTAATTTTAACAATTCGTGTAGACATTTGAAAAAAATTGAATTAAATGTAGTTTTTTATCAAATTAAAAATACGTATATAAAAAGGTTACATTTATCTAAATCGTTTAGAAAAATATCATTTTCCCTGTCTATGACGACTTCGGATTTTCACATATCGTCGGTCCTTTTGCAGTTCCCTCTCTCTTTTTTTTATTACTTTGGATTATTTTCTTTCTTTTTTTCGAAAATTGGATTATTATTTTTGTTTTTATTTTCTTCGTGGATAAATTTAATTTTGTATATTTGGTGTTTCCATGTTGCTTTCACTATTTCAATCTCTATGCGTGAAGATTTAACTAATCCTAAATAATCATTTTAAGTATTAGTTTTTTGTAAACAATAATGATTAAAATTTTCTTCCGTGTCTATATATCTTTATAATTCTCTATAATTCTATAATTCTTTGTACATTATATTCTTCTCCCCTTGTTTTTTATTTTCAAATTACTCATCCAACGACGCGTTCTCTTCCTTTTTTTATAATCAAATATCTTTTTTCTTTGCTTTCTGAATAGATTTTATTTTTTTTGCAAATAATGACGTGGAAATTCCATGTCATCATTTAAAATCGGATTGTTTTTAACTGAAGGAAAATTCGGTGATCTAAAGAGTAAAGATGTATATTATTCCCTCGTTTACATTACAACCTTAAATTATTATCATAAAAAAAAAAAAAACAGAAGACTTTGCAGAGAAAGCAACCCGACAACGAACGCACAAGACAACACAAAACCGAAGGAAACCAACAAGGAATAGCCTCAACCATTAGGACAAGCAATCGTAAACCCAACATATCTCTGTGTAAGCATGGATGAATCATATACATATATATATATACATGTAGTGAATATGTGATACATGAACCTATTTCGTTACACATTAATTTGGTCAAATTAATCAGAATATATATAATCAGAAATCGGGCAAAGATCATATATATCTATAAATGGCGATGTCCAGGAGACCTAGGCCCACCGGCGGCCGCC